TTATGTATGGGAATACAGTTATGCGAAGTGTCTGCGAGGACAGTGGCAGTGGCAAGAATAGGTTAATAAATATAAATATTAATATTACTATATTGAAATGCATTTTACGAAGTTTCTTTATCAAAAGAGATAGAAAATTAAGGGAAAAGGGTCATAAATGAGTTATTAAAATTAAAAAAAAAAAAAATTTTATCTGCTCAAAAATCTTGTTTTTAGCATTATTTTTAATAAATAAAAAATATTATTAATAAAAAGATTAAAGATAATAAATAAAAAAAAGTATCTATTAAAAATTAAAAAAAAATGTATTATTGAATTAAAAAATAGCCTTTTTATTATTTTTTAAGTATTATTTGAATGAAATTATTGGCCAAATACAGTTTCAAACTATATTTAATTTTTTATTAGTAATTTTAAAGGACAAATGTTTAGAAATAATTTTTTTATATATTTTTTATTTTAAATATTATTTATTTATATTTTTTATTATATTTATATTTATTATTAAAACCCCTTTCTTGCCAAGTTATATTGTTTTCTGCATATTTGAATTATTTTTAGTAGTTATAATTTATGGAATATCATTTCCTTTCTAAATATTTATATTAATTAATAAAACTTTTTTTCTGTTTATTTTTGTCATAATTTCGAATTATTTAAAATTGTTTTAATAAAATTTGTATTGTTTTCTTTTTATTATTTTAATATTATTTATTATTTATTTTAACATCATTATGCTATATTTAAAATTAGTCTCTGCAAATTTAAATATTTTTTAGTAATTTTAATATTCGAAATATTTATTATTTCCTCTCCTTGCTTGACATAATTAATTATTTAAGTCTCTGCAGATTTTAAAATTATATAAATTAACCCCCGCCTGAAATATATATTTTTTTATACTTTAATTTAAATAATCTCCAAAATATATAAACCTTCATCTTCGTTAGAAAATCGCTTATATTTCACAAAAATTCCCGCCCCAAAACTCCAACTCAAGCGCTCATATTACGCATACGCAACGTAGACGGGCAAACAAGCAACGCAAATGCTGACAAGGGCAGGTGGCGGTACTCCAGGGAGGAGATTCAGGGACTCCCCTGGGTTTTATACCGCGAGGGAGATGAACGGGGGGGAGCAGGGACACGGGGACACAGGGACACAGAGATGCGACTCATAAAATGCAAGCACAGCAGGAGCGACAGTTGAGAGGGCCAAGCCTAAAGGTATGCTATGAAAAAATTGCATAAGAGCAGCAGCGGCAGCTCAAAAAATAAATAAAAAGAACGCATTTGTTTCAAAATTAAATACTCATATGTATGAGTGTGTGTCCCCGTGTGTGTGTGTGTAGAAAAGAAAGCAAAAAAGTAAAAGAAAAAGAAAGCAAAAGTTGTTGGTTTTGTGCGTTGATTTCGTTTTGTTTTGGTCTTGTTTCACAGCAACTCTCCTCGTTATAATCATTTCACCCCCTTGAAAGGGGGGAAGCTGACGGAGAAAGGAGCGTCGGGGGAAAAGATGCAAAAAAAAAGTAAGAAAAAAATAAGTAAGAAAAAAAAAGAAAGTGTAAAAGCAAAAGTATTTATTATGCGGCAATGGCTTGGAGAGGCCTACAAGAGGCTTGGAATACATCAGAGTCAGAGTCAACGAATTGCACAAGACACTGAGAAAAATAAAGGGTATTTTCTTAAATATCTATTATATATTTTTGGGTATTAAGTAAATAAAGTTGAATAATTAAAATTATTATTGATACAAATACGATCTTGTTTATTTAAAGTATTAATTAAATACATTTAAAAATTAATATATATTTATTTCTTTAAAATTTGGGGAATAAAAAAATAAATAATGTGAGATATTATTTTATATATTTCTTTAATACCTTTTGATTTCTTAGGTGTTAAAATAAATTATATTTATAAAAATTTAAAATTTTTTTAATAATTTCATTTAAATTTTTTAATAATTTATTAATGATATAATTTTTTAAATGTAAATATTTATAAATTCATGAAAAATTATTTAAGAGAACCTCATTAATTTCTTCAGTGTACTATGCAACCCCGTCACACAGATACCCACACACACACATACACACAGCACACCATCAACGTCAACGGCCGACTGCAGCAGGCAGACTCGAGGCTTCAGCTGCTGCTGCTATTTTTTTGTAGCCTTCTTTTGGGGGCTTCCTTTTTATTTTTTATTTGGATTTTTCCCCAAGCTTTCCTTTTTAGATAAATTTTTATTTGAATTTATGCATGTGCGTTAGAAGAGAGCAGAGAGGACATGCATATACATATGTTATATAAGGACAGCCAAAAGACTTTTAAAAAAAACTAGATTTTTAGCAGATTTCAGAAAAAATATAGTTTTAAAAATTATTTTAGAATTAATATTAAATATAAAGATAAGGATTATTATTATTATTTTTTCATATTATATCTAATTTTCCCCCATAAAATCTCTAAATTAATTTTAAATCCAAAAGAAAACTTGTAGTCTTTCTGAGACCTCTGGAAAAGTCAACATTGCATTGTGCGCTTCTTGCAATTTAATTTTGTTTCCCTTCTTTTTTGCACTTTTTAGCACCTTTTTTTAGGTATTTTGCTCGAGGTTTTTGACAACATTTCCGCCGGCTGAGCCTGTCATCCCATCCAGGCTTTCCTCGGCCCGAATTTCCCCCATGAAAATTCGTCAAGCGTTGCAACAAAGTGCGTTGCGTTATACAGGAAGGTTTTTTTTTCCTTTCTTTCTTTCTGTGAGGGGAAAAACATAAGAAAAACGACAGTGGCTACTCGAGTTTCTTTTTGCTCTTGCTTTCATTTTCATAGATTTTCCTTTTTCTTTTTTTTTGCACGAAAAATGTTGAGACGACCAACAAGGAGAAGGAGAAGAAGGGTTGACAAGGGGGAAAAAATGTAATGTGGAAATATATATTTGCCGGAAGCTAAATGTTTTTCCACAGGCCAAAAAGCGGTACAGTTGTGCTTCCACCGAAAAACAGTATTGTGTGCACATTACATTCCGTATGGGAATGCCAAAATTAGTGGAGGGACACAGCAACAGCAGCAGCAGGAGGCGGCGACTGTCCTTTGGGGAATAAATAAATTGAAAATCGAGGCACAACAGCACAATTTTCTTAGTTTTTTTTTGCTTTTCTTTTGGAATTTTTATCCTGTTGCAACATGCGACAATTTCTCTCTCATTGTTTGATTTGAATATTTGATTTGGTTTTTATTTTATTTACATAGTGCAGTCTCAAAAATAATAAATGTGTGTGCGCGGACAATGCAGAGGGAAGCTCCTAGCAGAGCCCACGCGGCGTATACGCTATATTGTATACACCACTGCGTATGCTTAATTATTCATAGAATGAGAAATTTGGGGGGGAAAATAATTTCGCAGTCTTTTGAGGTTGTCATTGAGTTATTTAAACCAACTGTTAATTATTTATTTATTTATTTATTTAAAACTAAAAAATAAATATATATTTAAACTATATAGACCTCCAAATATTTATTTTAAAAATATGGATTCCCAAAATATTTTCGTATTATTTAAAAACTTGGCTTCTTAATTAACCTCAAACTTATGTAAAGGGTAACCCCTAGTCGTTTATATTTTTTCTTTTAGTTGACAGTGACAGCCATATTGAAAATTATAGTGTCGTGAACATGCAACTGCAACAACAACGAAAACAACAATGGCAGCATTGGTGGCAAATAAAAAATTAAATTAATAGAAAAAGAAAAAAAAAACAAGAAAAGGAAATAGAAGAAGAGGAAGCCCAGGAAGGACCTAGCAAACAAAACATGGCCAGTAAATAAATGATAAAAACAAAATAATAAAAATTCCAGGGTAGGGGAAAATTGCAAACGGAAATTGCTAGCAAGTGAAAAGTGGCCCATAAAAAAACACAAAATAAAAACAAAATATATATATATTCCAGAATCAAGACTATGTATACGTATTGTGTGTGTTTTTTACAGGAAAGACAAGAGGGATATTTATACACAAAAATATGCGAGAAATACAACATAGATTACATACAAATATATATATATAAATTGGATTAACTAACAAAATTACACAGACATTAAGAGTTATAAAGTGTGTGTGTGTAAAAGAGTTAGCTAGCTAGAGAGACAGAGACAGAGATAGATAAATACACACAGAGAGAAGGAGAGAGAAAGAGAGAGCGCTACACATTAAACAAAAAAAAAATATATATAGTTTCTATATAGAGCTAGGAAACTGAACAACTAACACTCGATTACTTGGTGGGGGGGGGAGAGATATTTTCAAAACTGAATAGAAAAAAGAAAAACTTTACTTCTTGGGTTTTTAGGTTTCAGGTTTATGTATATATATATAAAGGGTATATATAGATGGATAAAGATATATATAATATATATAGTAATATATATATATGTATGGTTATATATATGTATTAAAAAATTCATAGACAAAGAACACGACGAAGAGCAAAAATATATGTTGAGTTTTTGATTTTGTTTTCTTTTTGCATTTGTTTTTTTTTTTATAGATTTTGTATATTGTTTTTTTTTTTATATAGATATAAATATTATGGTATATAGATGTATATATATAAGAACAGACAGAGAGAGAGAGAGAGAGAGAGCAATACTTAAGATAGAGATATGGTTACATATAGACATGGAGTCGGATCGAGCCAGATCGGTATCAGATGGAGACGGAGATCTGGCCTGCGATATATATCGTAATATATATTTCTTTTTTTTTTTTCTTCTGACCTATCGAAGCAGCAAAAGCATTCACTGAACGGGGGGTTTTTGGGAGGAGAGTATCCTCCGCGAGGGGTGGGGGGGGGTTCTAATTTTTGCAAGGGGTTTTTTTCTTTTCGAATTTTGGGAATTTCGGGGATATAAGATCTATCAGGGTTTTTTTAATTTTTGGGGGAAAGGGGTTTAAGGGTTTTCATTTAATTTTTAAGCTAAAAAAGCTTTCAAACTTACCGACTCGTGGGAGGCACGGTAGTCAAGGTCGCCGCCCAGCCCGCCGCCAGCTGATGCCGAACGCTGTTGCATGTGTCTGCTGTGACTGCTGTTGTCATCCTCACTGCAATCGATCTCCTTCTTGAGGCTCTGCGGGAAAATTTATTAAAATTAATAAGTAAATGTAAAGAAATCAGGAATAAAACTATACCAAAATTATAAAAAAATAGAATAATAATAATAAACACTAACCAATGGCACCGATTGCACGGGCAAAAGATTGGCCACAGTCCCGGGACTCAGCAGACTGGAGGAAGAGGCTCCGCCTCGACCATCATTACCGCCATCGCGTGAACTCCGTGACGCTGGGCGACCCCCAGAGCCACCAATACTGAGGTCAGAGGCTCCGGCACCCGTTCCCGAACCCGTAATGGCCGGCGTAGAGCGCTGTGATTCCATGGCTGCTGCCGCCGCAGCAGCGGCTGCTGCTGCTGCCGATGAGGAGGGCAGGGTAATCAATGGCGAAGGTATTAAGGTGGAGCCAGTAGAAAGGTCCACTCCACCACCACCTCCACCGCCGCCGCTGCCACCACCCATCTTCATGTTGAGGCCCAAATCATTGTTGCTGCTGTTATCCGCCTCATCGTCATCCTCGAGATCCATTTCATCGTCATAATCATCGTCGATGATCTCCGTCTTGGCAATCACGGGCAGGGCATCCTCGTCGTCCGAGGGCGACAGTTGGGAATGCGGATGTGTGTGCGAATGCGAATGCGTATGCGACGGTTGGTGGTGGTGCGTGGCGTGCAGGTGGTGCGAGTGATGGCTATGATGAAGCCTCAGTGTCTGATGATGGGCCAGGCGCTGGGCAATGCCTCGGGCCATGGCGCTGGCACTGGCACCGACCACCACCACATCCTCGTCCAGATCTTCATCCATGTCCTGCTCCAGGCGATGATCTCGATCTCGCTGGCGTTCACGTTCACGTTCACGCTCTCTTTCTCTTTCTCGCTCTCTGTCTCCTAGCCTTTCCTCCTCCTCGTCGTCATCATCATCATCCAAGGCAACAACGGCTCCATCCAAACCGGAAACGGAACCAGAACGGGAACCATTGCTGGCTGAACTTGTGGTCTTCCCGCTGCTTGCATTGTTGTTGTTATTATTGTTGTTATTATTATTGTTGTTGCTGCTGGAGTTGTTGTTGTTGTTGATGTTGGCATTGGCATTGGTGTGAGTGGAGGCATTGCCCTGAGTGGACACCCCCGAGGAGGCTGACGCCGCCGCCGTCGTTGCTGCTGCTGCAGCGTTTTTTGGCTCGACAGGTCTTTGATAGAGATCTAACGGCATTGGCGTATCCTCATCTTCATCCTCATCCTCATCGTCCCCCTCATTGGCCGTCGCTGTTGCCGCCGCCGCCACAGCCGCCGCTGCCGCTGCCTGCAGCTGCTGTGCCCTTCGCATCGCCTCCTCAATATCCTCATTCTCATCCAGCTCATCAATCTCCTCCACCTCATCCTCCTCATCGTCATCATTTAAGTTGCGTGCCAGCAGTAGCTCCTCATCCTCCTCGTCCTCCTCCTCATCGCCATGCTGCTCATCCCGCTCATTGGAGCGTTCATTTTGCTCAGCCTCTAAATCTGCCAGTAGGTGGTGGTCCGTCTTGTCCTGCTGCAGCCGGGATGAACGCTTGGCGGGCGTGGGACTGCAACGATCGCTGGCCTCTCGCTTCTGTGCTGAGGAGGAGGAGGATGTGGCCTCCTCGTGGGTGGCACCGGAAGTCGCCGTGACAGCTGTAGTTGAGGCAGCGGTTGTGGCACAGCCTGCTGCTGTGGTAGTGGTGGCCGTCGTTGTGCTTGTACTACTGCTACCGCTGCTGCTCCCCGCCGCAGATGTTGCCGCTGCTGTTGTTCCCGTTGCAGATGTTGCCGCCGCCGCCGCTGCTGCTGCTGCTGCCGCAGATGTTGCTGAGGTTGAGGTCGATGTTGCTGCCGCTGTTGCTGCAGTCCCTGTTGTTGCCGCCGTTGACGTTGACGTGGCATCTAGAGCCGCCGCTGGACTATCGGCTGCCTTGTGGGAGGTGCCACCACCACCACCCTGGGGACGCAAACGGTCCGGCTCTCTTTCCGGCTCGCGCAGCGTCGTATTCTGGTTCGTCATCTCGGCGAGGCCCTTGACCTGTTCCAAGTAAGTCAAAAATGTATGATAAGAATGGATTAAGGAGAAGGATAGAAGCAGGTATACCCACCTTGAGGGATTCGGCTGTCTTGAGCAGCGCGGACAACTGACAGTATTGCACGTTCACCTCGCCCTTGTACATGAATTCAACTAAGGTTTGCAGCTCGGCAAAACGGACGTCCTTCAATATCACAATTGGATGTCTTTCAGGGTGCTCCAGGAACAGGCTCTGGAAGTACGAGGAACAAGCCGAGAGGACCACCTATAAAAAGGAAATAAAATAAATATTTAAAGTGTGTTTAAAAAATATTTCATAATTGAATTTTTATTTAGAAAACTTAGAAAATCGCCCTAAATTTAAGAAAAATATAAGAATTTTCACTGAATAATTGCAATAATGCCTTGAAAATGTTTCCTAAATTCCTTATTTTAAAGCTTGACTTTTTTTTAATTTTCCATCTTATCTGCTGGCCACCATCTGAGCCAGGAAAAGCGCATTTTCCATTCATCGTCGTCGGCGGCGGCGTTGGACATTTCTCCCCTCGGCAAGCTAGAAGCATTTATTAGATTTACGATCTGGCTCTCAAATGTGGCCACGAAACGCCGCTTTTGAAGATGCCACAAACGAGTGCGATCCGGAAAAGCCAGCGATGAAGAGGAAAAAAAAAGGAGCGTAGCGATGGGCGATTCAGTTGGAGTTCAATTTGGAGTCCAGTTTTCTTTTTTTTTTTCTCTCTCTCTTTATTCAGCTGCGGGCGTCAAGGCGTGAACATGCCACGAATGACAATGCCACAGCAGCAGCATCTGCAGCAGCAGCAGCAACTTGCAACTTGCAACGGCAGCAACTTGCAACCAGTTCCGATCCGCTGTCGATTTTTATGTGCGCATGCACGCCTTGGGGTATGCAATGAACGCCCGATATATACATATATATCCAGACACACACATATATAAATATATACACACCGATCTGGTCATGTTGTAAATTTTCATTGCTGGCAAATTGAAAAGGCGTCGGCCTCCATTTCGCATATAGATTTCGCTATAGCCTAATGAGGTTTTGGCCTAAGACTGGGCTAACCTCGGTGAGGGAGATGGCCAAGCTTTAGGAAAATCACGACAAGATGCGATGTTTCTAGGGGAAATTATGGATTTTTTTACAAAATATTTATAAGCCTCACAAGGCGAATCAATTTAAATCATCAAAAGAAAAAGGTTCTTTAATCCCTAAATGTTTATGTTTCCAGTAGAAAATCAAAAGATTAAAAAAATATTATAAACAGCCTCACCAGGCGAGTCAATTTAGCCAGACAGTGGTCTTTATATTGTGTTGAAATTGATGTTTATACTACAGTCTCTTAGGAGATCTTTTCTAATAAATTTAAAAAGGATTTGTTGATAATCTTGTCAGTTTTCAGGCAATAAAATTTTAATATCCATCTCGCTCGCACTTTCAAGAGAGAGTCCTTGGTTCATGTCCCAGCTAAAATTCCTATATTTTGTCCTTTAAATTTTCTTTTTTTTTTCAAATCGATTTTAGGTATAGTTTTCAAAGTTTCAAGGGGTAAAACCTTGAAGCTTTCTTACTTTCCTTGAAAAATGTCACCTCTAGCTTCCTCCCCACACCCCCGCCCTGTCCTTCTCTGCCTCACTCCCCATATCGTCGGCGTCTCCTGTCACGCGCCGTTTGCGCTAGAATTTATTTAAAAAAATGCAATCGGCCTGCACACGCCCCCGAATCGCAACAACAGCGTAAAATGAGCGTTAATAAATTCACGCGCATATTAGAAGTCATGGACGTGGGGCCGAGGAGCCGGAGGAGCAGGAGAGAAGGGGCCAAATGGGGGCTGTCCAGGGTCCAGTCTTCCAGCCAGCTCTTTCAGTGGCATTAAGAAAATCGAATTTCCTGATTACAAGCAAAAAAAAAAAAAAAAAAAAAAAAAAAAAAAAGAAAAGGAGAGGCTTGTCTAAAAAGGGGGGTGGAAAGGGGGCTTAAGGTGGCTCAAAAAAGCGGGGAGGGGGGGCCAGGTAAAGGCGTCGCAAATTGGCAACACTTTTAATTGAACGTCGCTGGAGGAGCTGGTAAGGGGAGGGGCGGGAGGTAGAATAACGCCCCCAAAGCTAATGAACGCCAAAGGCTTTGATTTCTAACGCCACGGCCCAGTTAGTAAACATTTTTTACGCTCTTCCTATATTTAAAGCAAAAAAAAAAGAAGTAAGGCAAAAAAATGTTGCATGTAATTTGCGGCAAAATAGTCAACAACATAAATTTCTCTGACATTCAACATAGAGAGAGAAGGCAATAGTTTTGTATGTGTAAAGAGAGAGGGACAACAAATAATAAACATAAGAAAAACCTTATGAAACATGGTTATTTCTTAGATATCTTTTAGCTATTTTCTAATATTTAATATTTATAAATAAAGCTCAATGATCATACTATAAGTCTTAATATATATATAAGTATTTTTTTCTCTGTATCCTAAGGTGGGCGTCGGGTTAACCGATCTTGCATCGCATGTCCCAAGTGGGCGTCCGCATTCCCAACCCAAATTTAAACAGCAGCAGTTACCCGGTTAAAAGAAATTAAACTAAATGAACGACAAGAAAAAGAAAGAAAATCCTATTCCAATTACGCATGCGTATAAATCAAGAGAAAGAGATGGATATATATATAACAGGAGAGCAGGAGAGATAGGAGTTGGATCCAAAAAAAAAAAAAAGAAGTGGGCGCCATTTTCTGTGAAGAAGCCACGTTATCTTGGAACTCTTATCTTTATCAAAGATCTTTACCTTTCTAAGCGGGTTTTACCATCTTCTAGTTTTTCCTTTAACTGATTTCTAGAGAGCATAAATATTTTTTTTAATGTTTAACTAAAAGATTTAAAGATGTTGTAAAACTGTTAAAACCTTTTTAAAGGTAACCAAAGATATATGAAGGCACACTGGATTTTGTGTAATATATTTAAGTTTTTTTTTTTTTAATTTTCCTTTCCCCAGATGCACATTTTAACCTTTTTTCCAGCTGTTAGCCATGACTCTATATATTTTTTTTTTTTTGCATGGTTACCAAACTTGGGTGTGACTGGGCTGCCTCCTCTGCCGCTGAGAGGTTAACATTTCTATTATGGGGGTTACCACTCCCTTTTATAGATGTTTTTTCTGCCTTTTTTTATTCTTTTTTTTTTTTTTTGTTGCTTGACCACCGTCAAAGAAGAACAACAACAAAAGCAACAACGAACACTGCGGCGAAATATGCAAATTATTATGTTTGCATATCGCCGCCTTACAGAGTTTTTTGTTCCTTTCTTTTTTTTTTTTTTTTGTTGCCTGTGTGTGCGGTGTGGCGCTTGCGGCTTTTTTTTATTGTTGCTCAACCTCTTCTATAAGGCTATATAGCCAGATTCTTGTGCAGCTTCTTCTTCTTGGTCTTCTTCTTCGATTTTCACTCGCATTTATGTCTTAATACAATTTGCAGAGCGAAGAGTGGGCTCTCTAGGAATGCAACCACCTGATGATAGATGATCGATGGATACCGCGATGGATCTCGATGGATAATCCATCCTCTGCTCCAGTCTATTGGAGCTTTCCAACATTGTGATTAGGCCTTTTCTTCGTCAATTTCGCATAATGTGTGCAAATTTATATAATTTAGCCTGATGGGGAGAGGAGGGGGAACGACGACGACTATCGTTATCGATTGCCTTTACCCTGTCGATAATTGTGTGTGTGCGGGCAATTTAATTTTTATTGATTTTTTCGATGACAGGGGGTACAGAGCTGTGCTTTTCGGTACATAAATCGCTAAACTGTGATTATCTGATGGATTATCTCAAATTGATTATATAAGTTTAATTGAAGAAAAGCCTATGGGTGGCAGGCGTACTTAAACGATAAACAAATACGGGTAATCAAAAGTTTCGAAAAGTAAAATGCTTTTAAATTGTTTAATTTTACGTATTATAATACTGTTTAATATATTTAAAATGTAACTAGACTTTAATTTGTAACATTTATTTTCTTATAATTGATATGCATCTCTTCTTTATTTAATTTATAACAATTATGCCGCATCATCTGGCTGCCATTTCAGATGCTCCCTCAAAGCATTTCAGAAACTGATTAATGGCCGAGACTTTGGTAGACAAATAGCAAAAGACAGAGAATAAAAAATTAACAAAAAATAAAAAAATTATAATACCACAAAAAAATGGCAAAAATGTATTTCAAAATATGGCATTTCTAATTTAACAACTGCGCTTCAAAAATTGCGTTTTTTCCGTATTTCTTTCGCCTCCTGCCTGCCATTTAATTATTTTCTTAGAGCTCATTTCCGAGCAGGGGGAGTGGTGGAGGGGAGGGGATGGAGTTTATGGAAGGGGGCAGGGGGGGCATAGACGGCGGCGGCAAAAGCAACAGCAACACATCACACGTTGACCTTGATATTCGCATTCACAGCGGAACCGCGCAACTTGCACACACGAAGCGAACATAGATACAGCAGTGGGTATAAATATAGTGACTTTACAAAGAAATAGCCAAATAATTATTGTAGGTATTTATGTATTTTTATTTATTTTTGTTTTATTTATTTAATATGTATTTAAATTTTAAAACCACATATTTTTTCATATTGTTATTGCTTTTTTTTGAACTATTTTAATTTAATTTCATTTATTTTATTTTATTTATTACAACGATACCTATTCAACTGATCCTCGTTGTGCTTCTCACACACACCCTCGCACATGAGGCGTGCAAAGCATTAAGCAAAATCGACGAGACGAAGAGGGATCTGAAGAGGAGAAAGAAGAGGAAGAAACAGAGGCAGCGACGCACGCAACGCAGCTTTGAAAGCTTGCAAGCGAGAGAGGGCTAGACCACTGCGATTGCCAGAGCGGGACAGACTAATTTGAGTGCGATAAGCAGTCGCAGATTGTGAATTGCAAAAACGCAAGTATAAATAAATAAATAATGCGAGCGAACCGAGCGCACCTACACTCGGACAATAAATAATTTTAAAAATTATCTCATCAAAATGAAGCGCTCCCAAGAACCTCTCTCTCCCAGCTGTGTTTTGTTGGATGCGTTAATTTCCGCCTATTTGAGGTTCCCCTTTCACCGCCCGCCCGCATGCAGTGCCATAAATTTGTCTTGATATTTAATAAATTTAATATATTGCTGCGGCGGGCTCGTTGTTGTTTTTGTTTCCTTTTTCCCATATCCCATCCCTCTTTTTGTCTCTGTTTTGTGTATTAAGTT